ATTTTGGCGCACCCCTCACACGGTCCGTGGCCGTGTAGGAAGCTCCACTGAAGGCACCAGTGGCAGGGTCCACATGGCGGCGCCGCCCCATTTTGGCACACCCCTCACACGGTCCGTGGCCGTGTAGGAAGCTCCACCGAAGGCTCCATGGCAGGGTCCGCATTGCGGCGCCGCCCCATTTTTGGCTGCACCCCTCCACACGGAAGGCCCAAGTAGCAGGGTACACATGGCGTGCCCGCCATTTTGCCCACCTTTTCACACGGTTTGTGGATTTGTAGGGTGCTCCATTGAAATGCTCCAGAAGGCAAAGGGTCCACATGGCGCGCCGCCCCATTTTGGCGCACCCCTCACACGGTTCGTGGCCCCATAGGGGGCTCCACTGAAGGCACCAGTGGCAGGGTCCACATGGCGGCGCCGCCCCATTTTGGCACACCCTTCACACGGTCCGTGGCAGTGTAGAAAGCTCCACCGAAGGCTCCAGTGGCAGGGTCCACATGGCGGCGCCGCCCCATTTTGGCGCACCCCTCACACGGAAGGCCCACGTAGCAGGGTCCACATGGCGGCGCCGCCCCAGTTTGGCCCACCTCTCACACGGTTCGTGGATTTGTAGGGTGCTCCATTGAATGCTCCAGAGGCAGGGTCCACAGGCGGGGGCGCCGCCCCATTTTTGGCGCACCCCTCAACCGGTTCGTGGCCCCATAGGGGGCTCCCTTGAAGGCACCAGTGCAGGGTCCGCAGGCGGCGCCGCCCCATTTTGGCACACCCCTCACACGGTCCGTGGCCGTGTAGGAAGCTCCACCGAAGGCTCCAGTGGCAGGGTCCACATGGCGGTGCCGCCCCATTTTAGCGCACCCCTCACACGGAAGGCACAAGTAGCAGGGTCCACATGGCGGCGCCGCCCCATTTTGGCACACCTCTCACACGGTTCGTGGATTTGTAGGGTGCTCCATTGAATGCTCCAGAGGCAGGGTCCACATGGCGGCGCCGCCCCATTTTGGCGCACCCCTCACACGGTTCGTGGCCCCATAGGGGGCTCCATTGAAGGCACCCGTGGCAGGGTCCACATGGCGGCGCCGCCCCATTTTGGCACACCCCTCACACGGTCCGTGGCCGTGTAGGAAGCTCCACCGAAGGCTCCAGTGGCAGGGTCCACATGGCGGCGCCGCCCCATTTTGGCCCACCTCTCACACGGTTCGTGGATTTGTAGGGTGCTCCATTGAATGTTCCAGGGGCAGGGTCCACATGGTGGCGCCGCCCCATTTTGGCGCACCCGTCACACGGTTCGTGGCCCCATAGGGGGCTCCATTGAAGGCACCAGTGGCAGGGTCCACATGGCGCCGCCGCCCCATTTTGGCACACCCTTCACACGGTCCGTGGCCGTGTAGGAAGCTCCACCGAAGGCTCCAGTGGCAGGGTCCACATGGCGGCGCCGCCCCATTTTTGGGTTGGCGCACCCCTCCACCGAAGTCCCAAGTAGCAGGGTCCACATGGCCGGCCGCCGCCCCATTTTGGCACCCTCTCACACGGTTCGGTGATTTGTTAGTGTGCTACATTAAATATCCAGAGGCAGGGTCCACATGGCGGCGCCGCCCCATGGTGGTGCACAGCCCTCACACGGTTCGTGGCCCCATAGGGGGCTCCATTGAAGGCACCAGTGGCAGGGTCCACATGGCGGCGCCGCCCCATTTTGGCGCACCCCTCACACGGTTCGTGGCCCCATAGGGGGCTCCATTGAAGGCTCCAGTGGCAGGGTCCACATGGCGGCGCCGCCCCATTTTGGCGCACCCCTCACACGGAAGGCCCAAGTAGCAGGGTCCACATGGCGGTGCCGCCCCATTTTGGCCCACCTCTCACACGGCTCGTGGATTTGTAGGGTGTTCCATTGAATGTTCCAGAGGCAGGGTCCACATGGCGGCGCCGCCCCATTTTGGCGCACCCCTCACACGGTTCGTGGCCTCATAGGGGGCTCCATTGAAGGCACCAGTGGCAGGGTCCACATGGCGGCGCCGCCCCATTTTGGCACACCCCTCACACGGTCCGTGGCCGTGTAGGAAGCTCCACCGAAGGTTCCAGTGGCAGGGTCCACATGGCGGCGCCGCCCCATTTTGGCGCACCCCTCACACGGAAGGCCCACGTAGCAGGGTCCACATGGCGGCGCCGCCCCAGTTTGGCCCACCTCTCACACGGTTCGTTGATTTGTATGGTGCTCCATTGAATGCTCCAGAGGCAGGGCCCACATGGCGGCGCCGCCCCATTTTGGCGCACCCCTCACACGGTTCGTGGCCCCATAGGGGGCTCCACTGAAGGCACCAGTGGCAGGGTCCACATGGCGGCGCCGCCCCAATTTTGGCACACCCCTTCACACGGTCCTTGTCCTAGGGAACTCCACGAAGGCTCCAGCGGCAGGGTCCACATGGCGGCGCCGCCCCATTTTGGCGCACCCCTCCACGAAGGGCCAAGTAGCAGGGTCCACATTGGCGGCGCCGCCCAATTTTGGCCC